TTTGAACCAAAAGGAATTTTTCGTTTTGCCCGAGGATTTCAATCGGAGTGTCGAACGAGCCCCTAAGACTAGATTCTTTTGAGATTCTAAACAGGATACATTTTGGGCACCACTTCGTGTCCAGCAATTTGCAGGGTGCAAAAATCATGGGAAAGTGATTTTGGGGCCTGCAGCACCTTTTTCGGGCGTTTGGGGGGAAACTGATACAAACAAAGTGCAGCAAAAACGCCGAAAAAGGTGCTGCAGGCCCCAAAATCACTTTCCCATGATTTTTGCACCCTGCAAAACACTTTCCCGCCATTTTTACACAGCGGCCCTTACCGGCCCAGGCAGCGTGCAAAAATCACACCAGGCAGCGTGTAAAAATGACACCAAAAGCGATTCTGGGACCTGCGGCACTTTTTTTCTCGTTTGGGGGGAAATGGATACGAAGGTTTCGTCGCTTGGAGGTTTTAGGACTTTTCCCATATATTTTTCCAACCAAACGTGGGCCCCGCCAATATATCTGCTGAGGAGCTACCGCGACGTAGTACTTTTGAAACTTACCCTTCAAAAATGTCCCACCCCGTGATTAAGAATTCGCAAAGGGTTAATTTCAAAAATATTGCTGTTTCGAAGTTTGGCAGCAAAAATGTCGTCCTTTCGAAGTTTCCTTTGCAAATATAGATGTTTCGGTGCAGCTTTATCAGGTTCCCGTAGTTTGCCAGCAAAAATACCGCGTTTTGCCAAGTTTCACAGCGAAGGACCCCTAGGCCCCTGGCCTAAGGGACTCAGGGACTCAGCGTTCCGGCCTCAGGCACTCAGCCTTTCTCTCTTTTTTTTTTCTTTTTTTTTTCCACGGGCGTGGCCGCTCGGCCGTGGCCACACCCGAGATGCCTCGGCCACATTTTTTTTTTTTTTTTGGTGGCCGTGGCCGAGGCATTTCGGCCGTGGTCACACCCAGATGCACCAGCCATGGCAGGAAAAAGCAAAAAAAACACGCTGAGTGCCGGAGGCCAGGACGCTGAGTCCCTGAGTCCCTGAGGCCTAGGGGTCCTTCGCTGTGAAACTGGGCAAAACGCTGTATTTTTGCTGGCAAACTATGGGAAGGAAAGCTCTATTTTTGCAAAGGAAACTTCGAATGGACGACATTTTTGCTACCAAACTTGGAAGGAGCAATATTTTTGCTGTTAATCCATTCGCGGATTGTCCCTTGTATTAGCCCCCCATGGCATTTACGGCCACACTCACGCTATACTCCAACGAGGGCTTCCAAAATGAATCTGTGCTCTTTCACCATTCGGCAGGGATGCACCTGACCGCAAACGCGTCCAACGTCAATGCGAAAAGAACCTTCTTTTTTTTATTAATTGCTCCAATCTATTTGTGGGGAGCAGCACGTGCTGGGAACCGGGCCGAGTGTCCCTTATAATGGAAATAGGTTGATGGTTGATTATCATTGATGATAATTTGGGATGATTGAGGATCATTTAGGATGATTTAGGATGATTCAGGATGATAGATTGGATTATTGAGATCATGAAATAGAGATAGATGACGACTAATCAGAATGATTGTCTACTCAGCACTCAAATACTATCCTATCCCTAATTTCTTGTATCCATTCCAACAAACCAATCACAACTGAGCCTGCGCTGTGCACCAATCAGGCCTCTTCACGGTCTCACACCCCAATCTGGCTCGGTTACAGGGCAGCACTACCCACCCCAGCTCCGACCATCCTCAGCCAGATTGTAGCCATTAGTCAAGTTCGCAGATTGCCTTTCTCTCTCTGCAATCCCATACCTCTATACAAAGCCTCAAGCTCCTACTCAAGCAGGTTACAGGGCACTGCCCCAGCTCCGGCCAGCTTCGTTCTGGCGCCAACTCAACCTGGCCGTTACACAAAGAGGCTCAATTAGGAAATTAGCTAAGCTAGAATGCCAACTGGAAATCTCGAATCTGATAATATCAGAATCCTGATCAAAAAACCTTTCTGATGATGAAATTTGACGAGTACCCTGAGATGATCACAAAAATGATGGATAATTATGAGGATGCTGATGACTATTCCTCTCCACCCCTCCCCTTCCTCCATGTACTCTCCCCGTTCCTCTTCTCCTCTCGCTGCCTCCGCTGAGCTGAACCCGGCTGTCAGCATGAAGTTCCTATCAGCCCCAAGCCCCCCAAGGAGAGAGATAACCTCCCATTCCCTTCTGCCTTGAAGTAACCAGTTCTTCCAAAGGTGTACTTCAAATCTAACACTCTGACCAAGTCTGCCTCCGCCAGGTATCAATGTGGCCCCATACATATCTCGCAGCCCCGGCCCAGATCAGTTCCCATCATCTGCGTCTACTCCCTAGAGGTTCCTGACCGTCGTGACCGACCTACCTACTAACTAGACCACAACCTATCTGGGCGAAGAGAATATAACCACCAACACAGAGATAACTACTGATTGATGAGGCACAATGGGGGAGGGACTGTGTTTGGGCGGAACCCACGCTGAGGAGGGTCTTCACTTTTCTTTCTCCAGTATTTTTTGCCCGATTGTTGGATTGCCGCATTTCCTCGGATAGCACACACACAATCCACAATGTACCGTGGGATTGAAGGAGGAGGTGGGTGACGAGGTGGGGTGTATGGGATGGTACTATGGAGGAAGCGCGCAATGGGAGCGGAGTAGAGTGTAAGGAGGCTCGTCGGACATGATGGATTAAATGGGCAAGTCGCGGCACCCTGGCATCAACGCGACCTCTCAGCAACCCCGAGAGAGACTTGCAAAAGGTTAGATCTTCTATGCCCCCCTGGGCCCCTGTCCTCCTCTCCTCCTCTTCTTTTATTTCTTCTTCTTCTTCTTCTTCTTCTTCTTCTTCTTCTTCTTCTTCCACTTCTGTCTCCATTGGTGCAATCATCAGATGCGTCAGGACGACAGTGGCAGGAAGTCAGCTTGTGGTTGGTTGTCAGGGTTGATTGAAATTTCGCGCAGCTGAAGTAGCTAACGAGATTGACGGGTTCTATTGAATTGGCGCGCAGCTTACGTAGCTTGTATGCGTGCATGTGTGCGTGTGTGTGCGTGCTCGTGCGTGTGTGTGTGTGTGTGTGTGTGTGTGTGTGTGTGTGTGTGTGTGTTGTGAACGGTCTCCATAGCAGGGCCAAAACAGGCCCTTTTCCACCTAAATGAGTAGATCCGAATTTTGAACAAATCTCAAACGGACTGCTTGACCCTAGGTTTTTCTATGTGCAGACTGCTTGATCCCAGGTTTTTCTGTGTGCGTGTGCGTGTGTGTGTGTGTGTGTGTGTGTGTGTGTGTGT